CCCTATATTAATACGTTAAGTCCGGCCATTCAAAAGCTCCATAATACATCTTTTGGATCCACCTGTTGTGAGTTTCCTCTTTCCTGCATGTTGGGGTACGACTCCCATGACAGGTACACATTTTGTGACTTGAAAGTTTATTTTTCTCAAGTAAAAACTAGAACACGTCTATTATACAATATAATCCATTACAATGGCAACTAGTAAAATGTTTACTTTTATTTATTCAAACTTGGACTCTCGACTCATGATTGCTGCAGTTTCTCCTTAATAAATACGGTTCCAAGGCTTTACCAACACACACCACTATAATTATTTTCCTTTTTTATTTCAGAACCAGCGTTACATTTAAATAAAGTAAAAAGTAATGTTTAAATAGTTCATAAACCAGTAAATAATATCTGTAATGTATTTCTAGCTAAAACATGTACCTTGAGGTGACATGTCACAATCAAACATTACACCAATCTAAATTCTGTTTATAATAATTTCATGATATTCACCAGAACATTAATTATATGGAGCACATGTGCTCATGTATATTCAGAACAATTATCGCAGACAGTAGTCACACATTGTACTACCTGGTCAAAATGTTTAGATAGATATGACACAGAGTGTACAGCCCTCTCAGACTTCAGCCAAATTATTATATTTTATTAAAAAGTCCCAGTAGCACTGTTTGTCTACAGAAATATGGATTAGAATTTGGAACTAGCATTCAATGAGTTGAAATAGATGTTACTAAAATATATTAGAATGTGAGTCACATGAGCCATGCAAAACACTCTAGCACAAGATGAGTTGGGCTTTGGTTCAACATTGAAGAACACTTAATAAGTGAGATATTTTTATTGTTTATATTTGAGAGAAGATAGTCAATGTTCAATATAAAGATGACCTATTCAGATCCTGGAGAGGGCCCGGAGTACGTAAGGTCAATTTTATACATAAGGAAAATAGAAGGTTCAACTAACTATATTTCGTTTTCTCAAAGGAAATCAGGAGAAATAAAAATAAAAAAAACAATAAATAACATCAAAATATCTGACTTTTTCATTTTATGTATCAAATATATTTCTGAAAATGTTGCAATGAGTGTCCACTTAAGCATTTTTACATAGATTTTGTTTCAGAATTTTACACAAACACTGATCTGATTACTGAGACAAAAGAAAATCAGTGGGAAGCAGTCAGATGGGCAGGCATCAATGTTCATCCAGTTGTTTTGATTACTATGTTACTAGTTGCTGTTTTCCTGACTTAATTATTGTACATCATCACATTAAGATCAAGGCATAACCTTTCTCATAGTGAAATCTGATATCTTCCTTTTTGATTTTCAGCTGATTCAAAGTTTAGTAAAAGGAGCATCGGACTCATACATCAGTTGAGTTATATAATTCTCTGGGACTTCAATATTAAACCTTTGTCTCTGAATTTTGTCTCCTAACCTGACAATGTACAAGGACCAGGTCAAACTTCAGTAGGTAAAGGTCAAGAAACCAAAGGCTACAAAATAACTATCTGATACGAACATCTGTCAGGATATGCTGATTATGATATATATCAAAGGTGAGACAGTTGAGGTAGCAGGAGGTATAAAATGTGAAGAGGTAGATTCTATAAACTACAGAAAAGTTTGAATTTTTTTTATTAAAAAACACAACTAATCTCTCGTCTCTGTTACACAAAGCCTTGTCTACTTTTAGGAGGAGTATGTTTGTCTTAGGTCATCACTATATCAAACTCAAACTGAATCTGATTGTAAGTCACCCGTGTCATATTTCTATACTACCTTTCTTTGTGCATAGATATTTCAGTAATGCAATTAATCATGTTCTTTAAATCAGCTGTCAAAATTGACTTATAGCTAACCTCATGAAGTTAAAGGAATAATCAAGGACATTAACTATACATCATTTTTTTGCAGACTGACTAAACACATATAAACTGATGAGAAAGCTGTTTTTAAAACAGAGCAAAAGGGGCAGCTGCCCGTGACCGATGGACTCTTTAGGGGCACAAAGCTTCT